TTCACGAGACAAAATAACAATAGGGGAAGCAGTAGGCATCGATCAATTCTCACAAGTACGCCACGCATTCAGCCCCTACCGTAAAATCGGGAACCTTAGTGGCATCGTAATGAGTGACTGCCTCATACAATGCCCTATGCAAGAATATCCGTTAGTCTTATTATCCTCCCACAGAAATAGACTATAAATGCCAACGTGCTGGAGAGGCGTCCTGCGTAGATGAAGTTCAAACCAACAAAGTAGGTAGGCTTTCCCTACTTTCCCCTTTATCAATGAGTATATGGGGATGGTTCCAAATTTCCAAATGCACTAAGCACTTGCGGACGCCCGTCCACACTAGAAATGGAACCGTGTGTCTTGGATATGATCGCGGCACAGCTCCACTTTTACCACCCTTTCTCAAAACTGGTTTCTAAGCGTTCCAAGCGTCTAGAATAATCCGTAAAGCAAAAAGGCCGGCAGTAGAATGATGGGATAATTGCCATTGAAAATGAAGCTTTCATTTGTTGTAAATTTAATTGCACTGAACAAAGAGCTTCCTGATGGAATCGATAGCGATGTTAGTTCAAATAATGGTAATATTCCATGTCAGTGAAGAAAACTGTGGAAATCAATGAAGTTTAATCGCGTAAGAAAATTTGAAGCTCTTTTGCGTTCCGACTCACTTGTCGGTCACCATTGCGTATTGATCAATCTGCATTGGATTTACTAACGTGAAAAGGAAAATGAGGCTAGGCTGCAATACGTTAAAAAATCAAATGAGAAGAAAATCAATTAACTACATCTATCAACCAGTGACAATGGAACGATGCAGCTTACAATTAGCCAAATGTCAAAGCAACTCGCTTCGCCGCGTTACGTTAGTGGGTGGTCGGTAGGACTGTTTCATCGATTCTTCGGCTACGGCGAGGTCGAAAAACCTTTTAAAATGATTCGATGGTGAAAACAGCTTTGCAGAGCGCATGCGCACTAGAATGTTGGATTTCGCATGGTGTAAGCTATTTGTGTAAAGCGAAGAATGGCCTCACGCACACGTCAAGTCCGCTCAAATGAGCTCCCCTGTGGCAATCTTACAAACTGACTAACGTAGAGGGGATTGAGGCTGTTAACTTTTGCAAGAGTAATGAAGCAGTTTTAAGCGAGGGGATTTTGCTGTTAAGCTAAATCTGCCGCATGTTTTGTAGGGGACGTCGGTGCGCTATCACAAGTAGCAAAGGTTAGGGTGGCACGCCGCATTTTTTGAACAGAATGTATGTCAGTTGGACTGCTGCTCGCTACTATACTGTCACGAGAATTGGGGGATTCGTGAGCCAGGAGGGAGTGTAGCCAATCTAGGGGGGTGGGGGTGAGGGCAGTCACTTGACAAAAGCGTGAAAAGCTGGCGTGCCCACCCTACTTGTAAAGAGCCGTGACACGTCCCTCTTTCTGGGTTTCTGAACATCACTTGGGTAGTAACTGAGTCACTGATTACAACAAATCCAGAACACAACCAATCTGTGCAACACACTACAACATTAGGAGAAATAATCTTGACCTCTTGGAGCAAGAAAGTATCACAGGAGGTCCAAGATACTGGCAAGGAAATGAACTGAAAAGGACACTTCGGCACTATCTCAGATGCACTGCCAGACAACAAAATGAAAAATGAGTCACAGAAGCCATCCAGTCATAATTCAACAAGCGCACCGTGACTATGACCACGCCATTGCCCCCCTCCGCCAGGACCACAAATCGCGTCACAGCTCTGCTCGAGACCAAGCACTACATCCTCACTCATAAAGACGTTAAATTGGCAGGCGCAGCAGGTTCAATTCGACAATCACAGTGACAAGAAATCATATCATCGCATTATTTTCTCGGCTTGGTTATTGGTGTTGCGGTTCAAGTAGGTTTGACTGATATTATTTTGTAAAGTATTGTTTAGTCAATCTTTCATAGGTGTTGGGTTGGTCGTCTTGTCCGCCATGTCTAAGAAATTCGACAGGTTGCTGGGTGAGGATTCTTTTCCGAATTTGATTTCTTGTTTCATGACACAAAAATAGAACAGACTTTTTAAGAGGCTGCCACGGATAGCACGAATCTAGAGCCCAATTAGGATGGAATCGCTTCGCCTTCGAGTCATAGATCAGGAGAAGTGCCGTGAGTTATTTCTTTTTACAAAACCAAGAAATTGGGCACCCTGGTGATGCGAAGTCATGGATCAGGCTAGCGCTTAGCTCAGGCTTTGCCTCTGCAAAGCTCTGCGGTGGTAAATAGTTTCTGAAATATTTCTGGGGCGGTATTCAATCCTTCCCCCAGGGGTTGGGGGACGAAAATCCCTTTAAATTTTCTCTGTCTTCCCAACTGGGATTGTCCTGATAAAGGGCCTAGGTTAATGTATGTATGTATGTCACAGTAAGCATGCATTGAAAATGAAGAAACTACATCGTTAAAAACAAATAAATTTAAAGGGATTTCCGTCCCCCAACCCCTGGGGGAAGGATTGAATACCGCCCGGGTCCTCCTCCTAGACTTAGAGATGCACCAATCACGTATAAGTCAATGGTGTCTCATTCCAGAGTTTTCATTTCTTGTGCTTTGCCATCTGCACATGTTTATTTGTGGTTAGGGTATGCTTCAAAAATTTACAAAGCATCTTCTTGACGGGCTCGCATAGCCGTAAAATAACTGATCGGCATAACTGTGTGGGTGAATCCTAGGATAAGTTGTTGTCCACATTTGTTTTGAAGAGTATTTGCTACAAATCCAGTCAGGTTCTGTCTTGATTACCAAGTAGCTGTGGACAACAAGCGCTGCACCTTTGGATGGGATATCCCTTGGCGCAGTAGAATCATCGTTCGGGGCAGAAGATGACGGGCAAAGAATCTTGCCGCCATCCGACAGTACATTGCCATCCTCTAGAACTGAGTCAAAATTGCTTATGCAGCTTGTAGTATCTCATCTTCGACTCAGGTTTAGTCCTGTTTCTAGCAAAAGGGAGTGTTTCACGCGTTATAAATGCATTGCTACTACAATGCCCCGTATCTTGCGACAGCGCCAAAATTTAGTCGTGCAAAACCTGTTTAGCATTGACAGGCATTGGTAGGGAATGGCAGAACATGCTGCGCTCAAGAACTGCTTGCAATTTCGTAATTTCGTGCTTTTTCAGTGCAAAAGCTGCAATGGTGGCCATGCGGAAGCGAATCCAACATGACAATCCTCATGTTGTCATGCATGCGCTTCCTTGTATTAGATGCTTGTGTCAAGAACTGCGGCCACAAGGTACGTCCACGAAAGTCTATAATATTCTTGTGTAAGTGGTTTAAAAATTTAGATCCACGCGGAAATTGCTACAAGAGAGTTTATGGAAGAGTTTAAGAATTTGGGGATTGGAAGCCAGTACGAAGATGTATGTTTTTTTTTGTTTCGAATGGTCTCCTATTATTTATTGATGCTTTTATTTCACTGCGATTCGTGATTTAAGGTCAAAACAAAGGTTCTGGAAATGCTGCAGTGTTGGGCCATGGCGTTTGCTAACAAGCCAGAATACAAAATTGTTGTTGATACGCACAATCTTATGAAACTAGCTGGTTTCGATTTTCCATCCATCAAGGAAGCTGACGCAATGTTCTCCGCTCAGGTAGCTCCTGACTGGCATGATGGCTCCGAGTGTTTCCGGTAATATTCTTCCAATAAACATAAATAACTCTTAGAAACCAAGAACATTGCAGCTGCCGATCCGAATTTTCGCTTTTCAATCGTAAAGCACCACTGCCGCGCTTGTGGTCAAATCTTCTGTGATCGCTGCAGCACCAAGGAAATTCCTTTGCCACAGTTTGGAATTGAAAAAGAGGTTGTGTTAGCTCATACCCTTTTCGACAGAGGAGCTCAACACATTTACTTCAGGTTCGCGTGTGCGATGCATGTTTCGAGAAGATTTCATCCAAAACGAGTGAAACAAAAGTAGTTAAGGTACTCGCTGGTTTCCTCTTTTTCTATGGTACTGCAAATTATTTTTTAAGAGTGAGCCATTAGCTTCTACGTCGGTGAAAGAAGATATCTCACAAGCTGAAAAGGAGAAGCTATTGAAGGAAAAGGAGGAGGAAGATCTGGCATTGGCTCTTGCTATAAGTCAAAGTGAAGCAGAGGCGAAGGTAGTGTTCTTGAACTTGCCCGGCAGTTTCCTTCTTGATTTACAAGGATTCACTTGTGCTTATTTCGTAAAACTCTAGTGATAGAATGTTCTAAGTTGAAGGTTTTGATAATTCAGGAGCAGGAGCGGCAAAAATCCTTGTACGCAATATACAACGGTGATACTACGGGCGCATCCGCAGTTAACGTAAGTCTGCCAATAATTTAGTGAGAAATTTATTCATTTTGAAGCATTTCTTTCTTTTTCTTCTACCCGAGTACTTGCGAAGAAGGTGATTTTTTGCAATGCTTTATAAAGGTATGGAATGTTCTAGTCCTCACATATCTGATAATGTGACGCCACTGAGAATTAAGGGCTAGTGTCGAGGGGACGAATCACTGTTCAAATCTAATATGGAGGGTCATAAGCTCAACTTTCGTTGATGTTGCCTTATATGTGTAGCAATGGCGCTATCACTGTCGGGGCCAGTATTGAGAGCTCCGAACAGAATCACAGTCATTGTTTCTCCATCGATGCGATCCGGGTTCCATAGTCCTTAGTTAAGCCCTTCTCAAAGTTGTACTAATTTCAAAGAGAACGATAGGACGAGTGCTCTTATGATTACTATGAACGTTTGAGAGTGGACTGGAAACTCGCTGACTAAGCAAGGGCTGTGTTTGCGGGCTGTCCAAAGTTGAGCAAGGCGGGAGTGGTTGGTGAACTCGTACTCACCGAACTACGCTTCCTACTAGTGGTCAGGCATTACAAGCTCATCATTCTTGGTGAAACTCGCTTAACAGTGGGAATTTTGCTACCAACAAGATTACTCATGAATCAACCAGAATCAGGAATCGGAAAAGACAGGGAAATCACTGTCTGCGTTCAGAGATTGTCAATTCGGAGAGTAGCACCTTTATTGTTTTCTACTTTTTATGATGGGTTAAGGTCATTTTGGGTGAGATTGGCAATGTGCTCGGGAAGGGTGCGCATAGGTCTCTTACCCTTATCTATGAGGTTCCGAAACGATTTTGACCGTTGCAGTTGTTTTATGTATCTTCTCCTCCTGTATGGCTTTTCTGTGAATTTT